AAATGTTTACTAATTTGAATAACATTTTTAAAATGTAAAATTCTTTTGTTCTTTTCTTTTTTAAAAATTTTATATCCACAGACTAATAATTTAAAAACCATAAAAAAAACCATAAAAAACCACATTTTTTATTATTGTAAAAAATGATATCTCAAAAATTAATGTTTAAAAAAGTACCTAATTTAAAAAATATTTAAATAATGTTTAATTTTTGTAAAATGTATAACATTTTTATAAGTTTGGTATAGTTTTGATTTCGACTAAAAATTGACACTTTGTAAAACAATTGTTAAACAAAAAAGCAAAAAATAATTCCAAGAATTAAATGAAAATTTCCCGAACGTTCCACTTTCCTTCTCGCCTATACCTATAGATTACATAATTTCACTAATGTTTACTTCAAGAATCGTCGCAAATAAAGTAAAAAGAAAAAAAGAATGCAACATAACCATTAAGAACAGGCTATATATTTTTTCTTTTTTGCGGGGAAAAAAGTAATTCATTTGTGTTATCTTAATAACCACCAGCACTATGACATTCAAATTATTATTACATTTTAATGTTCCTTTAACATCTAAAAACGGAATGATATACAAAAATTTACCTCTTTATCACGAAATATTGTCACTGAACACAATTTGAAATCAAGACATTAAGAGAATAATTTCCAGTGTTATAAAAAACGAACACATATATTGCATTAACGTAAAAATTCATAAGAAAAAAAATTAATTCACTAAAAAGAAACATTTATGGAGAAAAACGTTAAAAATAAAAGGTTCTTTTGACTAAGTTAACGAAGAGAGAGAGAGAAAGAGATTCAAATAAAATTTTAATGCACCACCAGTAAAAGTTCATCATGTGAAATTTCAACAAGTTTCTTTAATTATTTTTAAAAACAATATTCCTTTTTTTGTCTTAAAGAAGAAGAAGGAGAAAAAAAGAGGGGAGAGAATTTAATATCCTGCATCACAAACAAGTTTTCAAAACGTCGTCATTATGAATTCAAGGAAGGGTATGATATAATCTATTATAAGGTAAATAAAATTTAAAAAGAAGAATTGAATAAGCAAGACATGTTCGAATGCATGTATATGACATAAGCGGACAAGTGTGCGGCATAAGCATTGGAAGATATAATTGCACTTGAATGATTATAGAAGAATACCAATTGAGAGAGGATCTTTCAGTCCTTGCTCCACCTTTATCTATTCCCTTTCACCAATCTTATACAAACATACAACCACGTCTGTATATATATAAACTTATAAAAAAAAGCTAAACACTCGGATCTTTATGCTGAATTCCTCACAATCGATTTCTCTTTTTATACATTCAGTTATAAAAAAGTTCATTAATTAATTATTGACAACTTTACGGAGTATTTTATCTCAGGGCTAACAGTAACTTTTTTTCCTCAAAAATCGGTTGAGGAGGTGAATTAGTTTCTAAAAATAGGTGGCAGGAAGGGGACAAAAAAAATTGTATATAAAATAAAGGAATGTGCAAATTAAGTAATTTGTATTTATTCACAATTTCTTATTAATTTTATTTTTTCCTAAACTTAACTTTTTAATCTTCTATCTAATATAAGAATTATTAGTAGAATTCTACTAATTAGTCAAATTTTACTAAATTTAAAGAGTTAATATAGAACAGAAATCAATCGTTTAAAACTTAAATCAATTAATATATTTGCGTAAATTAACAATTACAATTAATTGATAAACTAGATTCACATTTCAAATTCTAATTATAATAATTGCTGTACTAATATTTGTAATTAGTAATTTTCATATAATGACCATTATCAACTGATTTTTATTTATTCCTTCTCTGCCTGCGCATTTTAGTAATTGAGAGAGAAGCATAATCCTAGACTGCGGGAACAAAATTTAAGTCATATTGATCGTCAAAAATTCTCTCCGCGAAGAGAGAGAGAGAGAGAGAGAGAGAGAGAGAGAGAGAGAGAGAGAGAGAGAGAGAGAGAGAGAGAGAGAGAGAGAGAGAGAGAGAGAGAGAGAGAGAGAGAGAGAGAGAGAGAGAGAGAGAGAGAGAGAGAGAGAGAGAGAGAGAGAGAGAGAGAGAGAGAGAGAGAGAGAGAGAGAGAGAGAGAGAGAGAGAGAGAGAGAGAGAGAGAGACTATCGCGAAAATCTGTAATTAAGATTCGTTTCCCATAGGACGAATAGTAGTTAAATGAATTCAAAATCCGCCTACTCTAGACATAAACCGAACAAAACCTATATTCAATCTTGATCAAAAGGGCTACATCATAATTTCATTAGTTAATATGTTTTTTTTTTATTTTCCTCTCTAAAAATCAACAAAAGACATCTTAAGTAGCTTTTATTAAAATGAAGAAGTCTACAAATAATCCGCAGAAGTATCGAAAATTCTACAAGAAAAAATTCAAAATTTTATTTCTTGCGAATAAAACCAGAAAGTAAAAACAATTTTTGTTTCAACATCTACACATTGAAAAAAAATTTTATTTGCCTATAAACACCAACCAAACCTTTTAGCTAAACTCTTTTCTAACAATCTAAATTTGAATAAATTAAAAAATAATATCTATTTTGATAGTAAAAAGTCAGTCACAGTCCCACACACGGAGAGAAGAGTTGCAGTAAATGTGACAGAACGCGTTTAGTAAATCATTTAGTGCACCGGTTAGTGGCGCCAACTGTATGTTTAGTATAATACACTACGACACCTCTCTGTTTAGTAGAATATACTGTTTGCTCAGTGTATCTTACTATCTTACTAAACAGTGCAGTAGATGGCACTGTCTGTACCGTCAGTCCAAACCTAACGATTCTGTTTAGTAGATTTAACTGCCATGTCAGTAGAATCTACTACGCCCTTCTCTCCGTGCAATTCATAACTGTATACAGGAAAACTGCACACGTTAAAGTGCACACGGAAAAACTGTATACAAGCAAATTTAAAAAATAAAATCATTAAATTAAATTTAAAAACTGTACAAATTTAAACCGCATACCGGTAAACTGACCACGGGAAAACTGCACACTATTAAAAATTACAAATTTTAATAAAGAAATAAAACTAATTTAAACTGCATACAGTTAAACTGACCACAGGAAAACTGCACAAAAGCTTATTTTTAATAAATTTAATAGAAATTAACTTGTGTGCAGTTTTCCTGTGGTCAGTTTAACTGTATGCAGTTTAAATTAGTTTTGTTTCTTTATTAAAATTTGTAATTCTTAATAGTGTGCAGTTTTCCCGTAGTTAATTTACCGGTATGCAGTTTAAATTTGTTCAGTTTTTAAATTTAATTTAATGATTTTATTTTTTAAATTTGCTTGTATACAGTTTTCCCGCTTGAATGTGTGCAGTTTTCCTGTATACAGTTGAATTTTGGGCAATTGATATCGCCCCGTTAAATTCTTCTTTATTATAGAAGTTTTGTCTGTTTCTATATCTACTCAGTTTTCGAAGAATTCGACAAACTCAGAAAATTCAATGAACGGATTAAGGCGCTAGCACAGCTCCTACTGCCTGCCTGCCTGCAGGTTGACATGGTAACACATAAGAGTAAGAGAGTCAGAAAATTCAAATTAAATGTTTTTTCTCTCTCAGTCTTTTGGCGCCTGCCTGCGCAGGCAGGCAGTAGAGGTGAGAGTGTACCTTTACTCAGAGAAAAATGAAGATTTTTAAAATTTTCAAAATGGATTTTAAAGGGGAAGAGTAGCACTTTTAGATGCAATATTGACCTTTTACAGAAAAAATTATCTCTTGATGTTACATAACATCAAACCTTTCCGTGTACAATTTTTGGTACTAAATTCAATATTAATCATATTTGACTATTTTCGTAGTTATTTTCTACCCTAATAATTTATCTTTTATTAATTGCTGAAGCAAAACGTCAGTCAAAATTTTATAATAAAATATAATAAGAAAAAATGTAATGTCTCTAAATGAGAATAGTAATACCACTCGTTTATTAAACCATTTGCCACGCGACAGCAGCAACCGGAAAGATCTCTTTTCGCGAACAGTATGATGTAACAGAAAACTCCAAACGGAAATAAAGTGCTATCAAAAAAACCACTTTCTAATTAATCATTTGTCATTGATTAATGGTTTCACCTTCTATTCATAGGGAATTATAAATATTTTTTTTCAAATATCCCGCGCACTAAAAACAGTTCATTAAACGATATTATTCGCACTCTAGAAAAATAATCAAAAAAAGTGGAATCAAATATATATATATATATATATAAATATATATATGCGCGCCTATAGATATGTATATAATATAAACATAAAGAGTATAAATATTTCTATAAAAGCTTATTTATGAAATCCCTTCATTTTACATACAAAAGAATTCTGCCGAAGAGAACCACATGTTCCTTTGGCTTCTTTTCAGAATGAAGAGAGCGTATCTTTGTCAAGATTTTTAAGCGCACCAGTAAAAAGGAAACATGTGAAACGAATATACATATCCACGAGTGCCGAGATGACAGTTAATGCGTGATACCATACACGATTGATATAATTATGCGTGAGCATAAAATTGCGAAAACCACGTAAACGAAAAATCACATAATCTCAACGAGAAAAAATTCATCTTTCTCCTACATGCAAATAAGACAAAAAAATTTATATATTAATTGATACGATTTATATCCGTTAAGATAGAATCATAAATTCTTAGAAATCCCCCTCCGTCACTCGAAAACTATTTTAAACAGAAATTGTGAAAGAAGAAGCAATTCGGTATTTAAAAAGTGGCAAACAATTTTGAAAAGACGAAAAGTACTTTTAGCTAGCAGAACAAGACAAATTTAGAGAAAAAATATTTCATGATCATTTCGAAAAGATAATTATCTAATGATTTTAGAGTTGAGATATATTTTTTCGATAATACATACACGATAAATGTTTTGATATTTTTTCTGATTTCTTTTTTTTCTTTTTTGGCAGGTATATGTGATTCTATACAGTTTCTCTAATTTTGTTTCAGGTAACAACAGTATCAGACGAGGGTGAGGACAGTTTTAGAGTGCCCAAGGCGTCTGTGGTATACATGGCGTCGACTGCTACCAGACCACAGGCCATGTCACAAGTGAGTACACACGAAATACTGCACGTACGTGTTTCGAATTCAGACGAAAATTTCTCGACTATCAAGAAAATTTAGTGGTACAAGAAAATAAACACTTCTACATGAAGAAAATCAATAATTACTCCAATAGAAATTCGAAACCCAACAAAAAAAATGTATTCCTAAATTTATCATTTTTGTAAATTCTCCTAAATAATCGTGCAATAATTAAATTTATAATACACTGAAAAAAAAATTATTTGATTCTAGAGGTGTGCAATAAGCTCGAAGCTCGATCGAGCTTTTTCGAGCCGAGCTGTGTAAAAAGCTCGAATAATTTCGAGTACTCGAATTTTTTTGAGCTCTTGAGTAAATTCTAGTTCTAAAGAAAATTCATATAATCTTCGCATATATTATAATTAGCAAATTAAAATAATGGGATATATAATCTCTTTAAGTAAAAATAATTTCACAATCAACCTAACATTTTGTACACGGAAAAAAATAATTCGGAAATAGTTCCTGAATTCGTTCCGAAATTGAGGATATGAGCAAAAGTCGGTAATTATTATAGAGCTGTTATTTGGAAGAAATGTCGAACTTTCAAAATAGATATTCAGGAATTATATGGTAAGAACTCGGTATTTATGTGATAGTTTTTACGAAATGTAGCGGCTGAGTATTTCAGATAGTCTGGACGGTAGAACTTACGATGAGTTCGGGAAAAATTCAGAGGGTCGCTTCATATATGAAGAAGCTCTTATAAGGGCTACAGAATAGTTCCGGAACAATTCCGTAGCAAAGAAAATAAAAAAAAGAAGTTGTGTAATATACGCGTATATACTTGATCGACATTCGTCAAGCAAGGCGAACTGTGATTGGTTGAGGATGATACACACACATACATACATAATACACTTATAGCTACCTACATAATTATATTCTAACGCACACATAATTTATACACAAATAAACGCAAATACACGACGCATTGAATCGCACGCTGGTTGTAGGGACCTGGGAAGTCTCTTATATACTAGACTTTACTTTTATTCAGCGCTTGTGAGAAACGGGGTCGGCACATCTTTTCTTTCGATGAAGTTCGGGAATTATTATGAAATTTAAACTGGAGTTCTCCTTGATTAGACGCTTGTAAATACTATTTTAGAAGAAATATAATTTCTACGACAAAATTTCGATAATATTATAGACCAGTCCTGTATTTCTCCAGGAATTTATTTACAATGCTGATTTTGAAAGTCTCACAAAAACCGTTTCGTAATTAGTTCGGAACAATTCTGAAATACTTACATTGAATTTCTAAAAATTTCTGGAACTTTGCACAAATCCTCAATTATGGAACAAATTCAGGAATTCTTACAGAATTTATTTTTTCCGTGTATATATTCTGAAGAGGATAGCCGATCGGCTATCGAAACGTCAAATAAAATAAATATTAGGGTGTCCGTTAAAAACGACATTTTGGAATTTTGTCCATTTCCGGGTCTCATTTTGACACAAATTGAAAAAAATTAGATACGTATTTTTTTATTTTTTTTTAAATTAATATTTAGTGGTGCCTGTAGGCTATTGAAATTTTGCATGTATTTTGCATGGAAAAAAAACTTTTTTTCGTAGACTTCCTGTAAAATCGTTGAAAATTAATATTTTTTGACCGGACTGCTCTGTTTCTCTTCATAAATGTTCAAAGAATAATATTCAATTTTTAACATATAAAAATTGTTAAGTTAACTATTTTTTACAGGACACAAAAGTTAACCAGAAAAAAACCAAAATAGGTTATTATTGGCAAAAAATATTAATTCTAAGAAAACGAGAAATTATGAAACTGAAGTTACCAACGTTTGTTCGACGAAAAATATAATATAATATTTTACATTTCAAACGAATCTGCTGAATTTTGGAAAAAATATCCGTTCTCATTATCACTTGTAACAACTGCACAACAGGTACATTTTTTACAATAGAACACTTTATTAAAAAAGTATACACTGAATGTGGACAACCAAGGCAGTTTTTTAAAGCTTAATCCTCATGTAATTGATATTAAAAAAATTTACTTTGTTAAGTATAAAGATCTATTAATTATTTAAAAAATATCAGGCAGAGAAATATTTACTTTTGGCCTCTAAAAACCAATGTGCCTATTTTTTTACTTGTAAAGCTTGCATACAATTTTAAACATATTGCGCAGTAAGTTCGTACACAAAAACTAAACATTTTTCTCTTTGGAACCCCATCTCTATAACTAACTGTTTCTAAGATATTCCATTTGTAACAACCGCACCTAGTCTCCCCTACATGAACATTTTGCTTCCTCTTTACGATCAGCAAAAAAATTTTCTTCCTCGTGGAGGAAGCATTAACGAGAAGTATATTTAATTTTAAAGTAATTTTCTATACCTACAATTTAACATTTATAAAATCAAGTTCATTCGTCTGAATGGAAAGAATAAAATTTTATTATACAGTAATATTATTCTAAATAACATATCAAAATTGTTTTTCTGTCTCAATTTAATATCCTTAGAAAAACTATGCGAAGAGAATTGATGTTAAAAGTCATCTCAAACCGTTTACACCTAAACTATTAAAAACTAAACTTTACGACTAGAAGAATCCTAAAATTCACGCCTAATAATCATAAACAAAGATTCTGTTAACCCAACTAAAATTAACATCGAACGTACACAAGACAGACTTTTGAAAAATGCAATGACAGACAAGACGCTTTTTTTAGTGTATTAGTATATATACCAACAATTCTAGTCCTTCCCATTTTCATAATCTAGTTGAGGATTTTTATGACTTTTTACCGACCTAATAGTTTTAAGCTAATGGCTCTCGGTTAACTTCAACCCATCCTCGTCGGGTGAACTGCCATTGGCTCCACTCTCCGGAAACGAGCTTTTAACGTTGCATCTGTAAGAAACCTGAGAGAGAGAGAGAGAGAGAGAGAGAGAGAGAGAACGCTAGTTCGTGATATATAGAACAAGTGAATATACCTTTTTTCGAACAAATTTTTTCTCAAGGTTTCTTCAAGTACTTTTTTAATGACAAACTCTTTTTCATCATCAACATCATATGCTTTTAAATCCGTTACTTCAATTTTTCTCCCAAAAAAGAAAAAATGCAGCATTTTCCTTGCTATTTAGAATAAATTTCAAACTATTATCAAATTCAATTACAGAAAAAATTGTCCTTGCTATTCAGAATAAATTTCAAAGTAGTAAATTCAATTACAGAAAAAATTGACTAATTGGTTGAAAGATAATACGAAACGGTTGAATTAGCCATTAAAAGCAAGGCAGTAAATAAATTAAGAATTTTTTTTTCAGATTTATCAATATTTTCAACCTTCCCAGTAATAAGGGGTGAATTAAAGTGGATTGGCACTTTTATGCTCTTAAATTCCAAACCAATTCTGTTTTTGTCTGCAATCTTAATGAATTCCTTTTCTATTGTTAAATTGATAATTTCTATCCAATTCAATTCTCTGTAACTACCTGACCAGAATTTGAAACCCCTTTAATGCCCTTTAAAGAATTCAATGTTAATTAAAAGGCATTAACTCCACAACAAATGATTCCCTTAAACGGCATTAAAGTAAATTCAGACTCTGGTCACGTGGTTACAGAGAATTAAATTGGATAGAAATTATCAATTTAACAATAGAAAAGGAATTCATTAAGATTGCGGACAAAAACGGAATTGGTTTGGAATTTAAGGGCATAAAAGTACCAATCCACTTTAATTCACCCCTTATTACTGAGTTATTTTCAAATATGGAGGAATTATATTACATTCTCCTATAATTTAGCCGTCAAAATATTTTGACGTGAGGAGGTAAAGAGTACAAACATGATACATTACATGACGTAAATAGAATATAGTGAATCGTCAATGAAACAAAAATATTGAATTTTCTACACTTTTTACATTCTCAACAAAAACGAAAAGGTATAGTTTTAAACATAAACAAAAAACGAAAACAATTTTTCATTATTTTTTACTATTTGACTATTTTAAAAATTTACTATTACTATTTGCTTTTATTATTAAGACGTATACAGTTACTCATGAGTCGCGACATTTCCTTAATTAATCATTTTTGATTCGTGATTTCACTCTCGCGACGCGTTTATTAATGCCGAGGCGGTTGCATTGGCAGATTCCAATCGATTAAAATTATGATTCACATCGCTAAGCTGGGAAGACCCTTTTAACGGTGCTAATTAAACACAAACTATATATACGCCTACATAATTTCTGATCATTCCTATACAACTATATGTATATAATTAAATTTCAATAGACATTTTCAAAAAGGCAAAAAAAATCCCCCCCTTAAACAAAAGGAATAATAATTTAGCAGCTATTATTAATAAAAGCGATATAATTAAATATATATTGTACTTCAGCAGTTTGTCATTGGCTCGTTATAGCAAAGATAATATGAAACACACATTCCAATTAACAAAAAAAGAATAATAATAATAATATAATTTAGTATTAACGCTAATGAACCTGCTTCTGTTACCAATATTCCATTACATACGGCGATGCCAATTATAATACAATTTTTTTTACAATTATAATACAGTTTTTTATATCCTTTACTATTTAAATATTATTTCACCATTGGAGATTTAATTTCAAGCAGCATTTCATTAAATGGAAGTTGAAAAAAGTTGTATTTTATTGGAGAAAACTTGTGGTCAAGTATAATTTACTCAGCCAGAGAAAAAGTTTTATTTAAAAAGCAAGTATAATTTTTTTGACTTAAACAAAAGTATATTTGTCTCAAAGCCTACCTATTTACTTTAAATAATAAAATTATTCAACACAAATGGAATTTTTACTTGACAGAAATAAAATTTTTATTTCAACCAAATAAATTTATTTCTAACAAACAAAATATATTTGGACCAAATAAAACATATCTCAACTAAATAAAATTTATTTCTACCAATATTTGAACCAAATAAAACTTACTTGAA